AGGAATTGCTGTTCAGCTCATGCATTATTGCTGCCCATGAAGGCTGCAGTGATTAGGCAGATTCCTGCTCTGAAAAACAGCCCATTTTTCATGTGAGATTAGCTCCTTAAACTATGTTTCATGGCAAAGCTTGTGGGCATTTCTGCAGTGCCTCCTCTTCATGCAGGTGGTTGTGAATTCTGAGCACAATGATGAAACAAGTCATCTCCTGAGCCAAAAAAAAATTGAAGAATTTATAACAAGCTAATGAGTCCAGTCTCTCCAGGAGTCAGGCCTTCTGCCCCATCACCCCCATGGTTAATTAGCTAAGCTTGCTGCTTACCCCCAAGCAAGTAGAACTCCCCTGACCCAAGCTGCATTTGTCCTTGGCCTCACAAGTGCATCTCTGAGAAATAAAGCATTAAAAATACTTAGAGCAGAATCATTAGGCCAAGCAATGACAGCAGCAGACTGGCCAGGTTGTGGGAAAAGGAGGAAAGAGAAAAGGGGCCTGGCAAGGACAGGAAACTCCCTGATGAGCTCTGGCAAATGAGAAGTAGCAAATGGTCGTGGAAGGGCCATCTCCCACCTCTCTACCAGAGTTTAACCCCCACGACAGAGAGAAGGGGATGTGCTGCACTCTGCACTGGACCTGTCAGCACTTCCTTTAGATGGGGAGGGAGAAGCAACGTGTTCCCTCTCCTGCCCTGGCTACTGGGAGTAGCTTCTGGAAAAGGAGCCAGCTGGGCTCTGCAACACCTCACCCATTTGCAGCCAAGGGGACAGGTCTTTCCTCTCTTTCCCCAGCTGGATTTGGGCATCCCTGCCATGACCAAGTGCTGTAACCAGCTGGACATCTGTTACGACACCTGCGGGGCCAACAAGTACCGCTGCGACGCCAAGTTCCGCTGGTGCCTCCACTCCATCTGCTCCGACCTGAAGCGCAGCCTGGGCTTTGTCTCCAAGGTGGAAGGTAGGGCTGCCCAGCTCCCACCCCCTCTGCTGGGAACTAGTGATGGCAGGGAAGGGAGGAGGTTGTGGGCAGGAGACCTTGCCTGGCCAGAAGCAGCACCATTCTGCAGCGGGGAGGAGCAGATCTGTCCTGCCCTTGTCACACGTGGGTCAAGGAAGAGAGAGAACATCCAGACCTGCCCCCTCCACACACACTTCTGTCCCAAGCCTGGGGACATCAAATGACTTACATTTGGACAAACATTCCAAAACACACGTGAGAAAGGAAAACAAAACAAACAACAATAAAAAAACCCACACCCTAGAAGCAATTCCTTCAACCTTCGGATGCCCTCCCTGAGACTTCAAACACCTTCACAGGAGACCAAAAAGCCTCCCAGAATCAGTAAAACCCCCACTGAAACCTGTACATGGCCATGGGCCAACAAACTGGGAGAGCCAAGGTCAGGGGCTCTCTGGGATCTGGTTCACAGATCAGAGATAACAATGGCACCAAGGACACACCATAGCCTGGGGGGTGGCTGAGCCACTGCAGGGAGACCTGGGTTCCTCAGAAGCCCCTCGTGCTAACAGAGCTCTAGTGATGGGTCAGTGGAAACAGTTTTCACAGATATTTGCAGGAGCTCTGGTCTGAGAACTGGCAGAGCTCAGAGCCTGTCCCCAAAGCCAAATGTGCGACACTTGCTGAGTGTCTCACAGCTCATCACAGCCAGCCCCTCTGCTGGTGTCCTGCTGTAAGGTACAGGTAGATCTTCATTAGTTTTCCAAAGCTGCAGCCTGATCAGGACACAGGGGCAAGTCTGTGTGACACTGGTACTATTGCAGAGGCCTTTCTACATTGTCACAGATAAATGTTTGGAAAGATAGTCCAGGCCAGGAAGAGAAAACAAAGATGTGGACTGAGATATAAGTGCTACAGGCCGAGTACAGCCAGTCTGTCACGGTCACCCTTATCTACAGATAGGATAGATACCCAAATCCTATCTCTTCAGATTTTCCCCTGCCAATTTTTCAGATCCCTCCTTTTTCCTTCCTGCCTGCAGCAGTGAAGCCACCAGACTGGCCCTAAGGAATTAAGGTGGAGCAGCACTCACACTCCTTGGCTGAGCCAAGCCAGCTCTGCCTTTTGCCACCTACAACTAGATTCCTCCAGCATCTCTGTTCTGTGTGCTGAAGGAAGTAAAAGCCTGGCTAACATGAAAAAAAACCTCCAAGCCATCCTCTCCTCCCTCCCCTTGCCTGCTGCTCAGTGCCTGCCACTCCCTGTCCTCAGGGCTGCTCTGAGCAGCTCCTGTCACACAGTCCTCCTCCTCCACTCTTATCTGGGGTCCCTTCCACTGAGTTACTGGGAATCAGAGATAGCAGGCACGGGAAGAGCAGTTGCACTCCCTTCACGTGGGCACCAACACCCCAGCTGCAGCAGTGCCAGTTCAGCCAAGCCTGGGTTTTCCCACTGACTCCCTGCAGCCTCTGCAACCCAGAAAACTCCTAAAGCAGCAGGGAGCAGAAGAAGGTGCTCTGTGAGATGGGAGGAGACAAGCCCAAAGGCAGAGCTTTCCCAAATCTATAAGGCACATACAATGTTAGTGCCATTGAGGAAACCCTCAAAGACCTGATATTAGCCTATTTACTTATTGACAAGCAGGTTTGGGCTTGTTTTTTTGGGAGGGGATAGCAATCAGGCAGACTCTATCAACAGCTCTGCTGCTGCAACTGCAGTAGGAGTTTTCAGGCTGGCTGGCATTGTAACTCCCAAAACAAGCAGAAAAGGTTGGTTAGTTGTGGCTACAGGCAGCTGAGGGGAGAGGGAGCCAGGAAAGAGAGTGCTGTGGAGGTCTGCTGGGAAATCCACTTGGGAAACAGTACTATCTGCAGTGCCCCAAATGATGCATCATCCCAGAAAAGCCTGGGAGAGGCAAGAAAGGAGGAGGCTTAGGGGTAAGAGAAGTTAGTGCCAGTTTGCTGCCACCCCAGGGAGAAAAGAGCCCCCAAGTTCAGCAGAAGGGAACCTCTGGATGGATCACGATGCAATAACCAGAGAGGAGAAAACAGCTCACAGGTTCCCACTGCAAATACTACACAGCTCAGTGCAGGACTCAGGGTGCTTCCCCCCATTCCCAGGGTGCCTGATTGCTCACCTGCCTGGTCTCTCCCCTCCTGGCAGCTTGTGAGTCCGTGGCAGACACTGTGTTCAACGCCGTCTGGACCCTGGGCTGCCGGCCCTTCATGAACAGCCAGCGAAGCGCCTGCATCTGCAG